ACTTTACTTCATTTTTTCATCACATTTCAAAGCTCATCATTTGTTAGTGTTTCAAGGGAAGTTTCAAGCAATCAAATAACTGATTTGTTGGGAGTTTACATTAATCATTAGCTTAAATATGGTTGTAAGGATAATGTCCTTCTCTGATGATGTCAATCCTACGATGGACGAGAGCTTATCACGTTTTCATAGGAATCGAAGGAGGTTGCCGAGGAAATAGCATCAACAAGAATGTAACAGAATAGCCAATCGACAGCTGGTCAGGAGGAATGTTCTTCTGATGAGATCTACCTTTGAATCTCTTTACCAAACACTTTCACTTTAAGTAGAAATGAGCTCGGCACTAATAAACCAATAGATTCCTCAAAACCCAACCTTTTTTCGCATATAATTGGAATATACTCCAATAAGTTGTACAGTGAATAGCTAGGACTAACTGCAAGAAAGTAGAGATGGAGCAAAAGCCCTACCTTAATAAATTATGAACCATACATTCATTAAAGATATCTGACAACTAGTTTTTTCTATCCATTCAAATATTTAAACAGCGGCAGTTACCCTTTGTCTTAATTCCTCTAAGCGAAAAAATACATAATTTCTCTAACCCACATACTTTTGTGGTCAAACCCAATTTAACTTACCTCAAGAATTCTTTATTATTCTGAATTATAACTGTCTTTAAATTTCAGCTTCTATGTGTACATCCTCCTCAAATTTACATTTTAGTTCTCCTCTACGCACGGCGGCTAGCTGAGATGCTATCCTATGCGTGCCCCAAAATATCAGTATATTTCGATTGACTCGATTGATACATGAGATTCAATTTGTGATTTGTTGTTTGTTGTTTGCTACGTTCAGCAGGGCTTATTAATAAAACATGTGGCACTTATGAAACTATAAATAGGCTTATACTGAGTCTATCTCGCTGAGCACGAAGGGTTTTATTTATGAGACGCTTAGAAATTTTCATGAATAGGATTTAGGAATATTTTTAGCAATTAATATGGTAATATAGGCGCGTTGCCTGAGGCATCAAAATCAAAGCAAATATCTTTGGGTTTAGTTCGTATGTCATTAGACGTCTTCTTACATATTTATATGTATTTTAATCGTGCATTTTTTGCATTTACGCCCCACACATAGTCAACTCTTTGTCCAACTCGAAGTCATAGGCTGCTTCGAGCAGGAGGCCAACATCGAAGAGACGAAGGAACTAGTTGTCCCAACAACTCCAACTCCAAAGTGTGTGATGCACTTCGATTTAGGCAAATCATCTGTAAGTTTTGTGAGCTCATGATGGCAGTGTAGAATTAACTCAAAGGATCATTTTGAGTGTGTGGCAACATCACTGGACTTTCATTGTTTTGGCAGTTGTCAGGTGACCTATACACCATGATTTGAGGAGAATAATAGATTTTTTGTGAGGCTTTCTGCTCTGAGTAGCACAAAAGTTGGTTCTCGTCCATGTCAGACTGCGATTTTAGTTGCTTTCTTATGTATTCTTAATCTCAACGAATTTCGAACCCAAAACAGGTGGGTCCAGAGATGAATGTGCCATCGCCAGCTCATAAATAACCACAATTTATGTGTCACATTAAATCAAGATTGTTTTAAAAAATTAATATATAAATTTAATTTATCTTAATTAAGGTGGTGTCTGATGATCACCTGATTGTTTTCCGTGGCCTCGATGACCCTGAGCGTCTAAGTACATACGAATCGAATCAGATACGGCCGGAGGCGCAAGGTATCTCAATGAATGACAAATACCAACTTGTCGTACACGTTGATCTGCAAGACAAAGGTGGGCAAATGTATCATCATCTGTCACACTAGGTTCAAGTATAGTGAAGCTCATAATTTCGAAGAGCTTTTGATTAAAAGCCAGAATGTGAAACTTTAACTAATTTTTATTTTTATTCAAATATACCGTTATAGAAGCAAAGATTCATTAAATTGCAACTGGTGTAAGCTTACAAAATTAATTTACAATATCACAACTTACTCATCATATGTCGCTTAAGATGAATTACTGATAGATAATGGGCTTTTCAAATAACAATATGCATTGATCTCATGATCACATCAAATTGCAATTAGCCAAGCCTCCCAAGTTTTTTTCTGATCCAGCTTGGGCTGCAGTTGAACCCTTGCTTAAGTCCTGTCTGTAACCACATCGAGATTCCAAATCGGGTTATGCGTATTTTGGCGATAAGATTCCACTGCACCATACACTTAAATGTGCCAGTGAAATACGGTACAAACGTGGCTTATTTTCTATCCCAATCATACCGATACAGGTAACTACTTCAATTTTATTGGCAAATATATGTTTTTCACATTGTCAATCCCACTATGGATATTGTTTTGGAGAGGCCTGGATCGCCTCAAAATTCGCATCTGTCTTTGATCCAGTGTCACCATTGGGTATGTACAGGAGTGGCTTAGTCAAATGATCATAGAAAAGACTCCACAATCAGAGCGCCCTAGGGTAACTAGGTACTATATCTTGAAGTAGGAGAGGCTAACACAAAAAGTATTTACAAAGAAAACGAAGGGTTTTCAAAAATCTCCTAACATTAGATTTTTGTGAAGACATTTATTTCGTGTGAAAGAAAAGATTCGTAGCTCGATCTCACCAGAGGACGACGGTTGATTTCCATGGGACTGCAGCCGTTTGGCTATGATACAACGTCCAGGCTGATGCAGTACACGAGGCATCTTCTCTCGTTTCGGAAGAAGATGGCTTGAGCTTTCGTTCGTTATATGAGGAACGTCGTCAGATCTTGGAAGTATTCTTGCAAAGGCCTCAAGTTAACAACAATTCGATAAGACTTAGTGAGATATCGTCACCCTATAGATTAAGGCAATTAAGGCGACTGTTAGTTGAACTTCCCCACAATTATATGAGTAGACCTTATAGTTCCATGGAATTGCACATATAATTGCTTCACAAAATGTTATTTCATCCAAACTGGAATGGATCGCAGTTTTTGCATTGCTTAGATCCTCTTAACACCCTCAGCGGGACTCGAACAATGGCAGTGCAACGTGTAATCTTGACACGTTATCTGCAACGCCACTCTGCCACGAGTGTCTTTGAGTCACAGGGCAGATGTGAATTTCAGTGGAGGCCAGGTATTTTTCCATATCACATTAGGTGGTGGGATTGTTGAAGAATATAAGTTATATTTGCTATAGAAATCCATTAAATTACATGAAACTTTACTTATGAACGAAAACTTACTAATGCAGTCTATTGTTATAGCAAATATAACTTTGCTCAATTGACACTCCCACCACAGTGTTTGATATAGGAAGATGCCTGGTCTTCCTTGAAATTCACATACGCCATGTGAGTCAAGGACACTCGTGGCAGTGTGACGTAGTGGTTAACGTGCCGAGATTACACACTACACTGTCATGGTTTGAGTCCAGCTAGGGGTGTTTATAGGACCTAGACGAGGTGGAAGCTACAGTCCACCATAAATAAGGATGCCTTTTGTGAAGTGATGACATGTGAAATTCAATGGAAGTGTAATGTCTACTCATATCATTGCGGGAAAATTCAACTACCAGTCATTTTCCTTAAACGAATTGGGTGAATACTTCTCATGTATATAATCTACTGATAGTCGTGCAACCCTACTTATAAACGAAAAATAAATAGCCTTAGCGACTTAGTCATTTGACTTAGTGTTAACTATGACGATTTTCATCAAATGACAAAACAAAGCTCAGCTCGTCTACCCTCGAAATGATTAAGGATGTGTCATGGACTGCATAAAACTGAACGTTGTATTAAAGCCAAACGGCAGGGGTACAAGTTGAATCTGAGGTCGTCTTCAAGTAGGATAAGCCTACGAATATTTACATAATGCAAATACGTACGAAATGAAAGTATTCACAATAACACAGCAAGGTCATTTCGAGATTCTCCACATTTAATCACAAATGATAAACGTCTCCGAATTCTCTGCCAAATAGTTTGGGTGTCAACAGTTCATGAAACAATGAGACTTAGAGCCTAGACTTAACTTCATTTATTAAAGCTTTCCCTACCTGTAAAGGTACTAATAAATTCAAATCATGCTCTTTATTCTAAAGCATCTCGTAGAGGCATTATCTTGGAGGCCGTACGAGTCTACTTATCCGCCAACGCCAGTCAATTGGATGAGCCAATCAGCCAAATAGAATTACAGATTACTGGTCCCAGAAGTATGGGCACCAAACCAATTCTGAATGGTAGCGTGGCTGTGCAATCGGAAGTTAAGACCATAGATGTCCTGGCCGAGATAGCTGAACATTTGCCAATCGAAAATGTAACCGGAGTCCGAATGATATTCAAAAGAGAGAGAAGGCGGATGAAGGAAATTGGTGAATCAAAGTAAGTATGAATATGGAGGCTAAATAAAAAATTGGAGAGAAAAAGGTGGATATCGAGTAAGAAGGAAATTAGGATGAAAGTAGCGTAGGTATTAGAGAAAAAAGAAGATAATATACACGAAAGGATAGAAAATAAGAAAATAGAAAAGAATTTAGTAGAAAAAGTATGAATTAAATAACAAAGAATGTAAAGAGATTAAAAGTAAATAAAGGATAAAAGATAAGAAAAAAAGAGAGGATAAGAT